AGAGAGAGAGAGAGAGAGAGAGAGAGAGAGAGAGAGAGAGAGAGAGAGAGAGAGAGAGAGAGAGAGAGAGAGAGAGAGAACTCTCTCTTCTCAACGAGTTGCACGGGATCCAAAAACAAAAAAAAAGAGGCAACTCTCTTTACATGCTGGGAAGGAGGCAACATAGCATCGTGACATATACGATGCAGGCACTAGTAGCACTACATAATCTTTTGGAATTGCCAGCACACCAAGTTTTCTTCCGTGCGGGGAAAAAAAAAAAGAAAAAAACTTCCCTTCCTCATAATCTCATCTTTTACAATCTTCACCAACTTGGTTTTCCCGAAACACGCGATCTCCCCCCTTTCACCAAATTTGGCACTTTGCATTCATAACCTCATCTTTTACAATCTTCACCAACTTGGTTTTCCCGAAACACGTGATCTCCCCCCTTTCACCAAATTTGGCACTTTGCATAATCGGAGATCCAATTTTCCATACAATAGGCTCTTTTTTTTTTTTTTTTTTTTTCACTTCTTGATGAATTATGCACTCTTTCCTAGCCCCTGCTCTTTTTTCTTTTTTCCATTATACAAGCCAGGAACAGGCCCAGAGCCCCTTCTCATCCGTCCAACAACAGCAGAACACAAGTGGACCCGATCCAGACAACATACCTTTCTTTTTTTTTTTGTTTCTTTTTTCTTTTAATGAAAGGGCGACGGTCTTGAGATATTATCATCGAACTGACTGGCCCTGCGTAATTCAGAAGCGCCGTAGTTTACTCATCTGCTTCCAGAGTGCACACTCATGTACGTACTTCAACAGTTCACGCATTGCCAACTTCACGGGGTTGCCAACCGTGCGCTCGGCCAGCCAGTTGATTCCGAAGTCCAGACATCATACTCGCTTCTCCTCCTAACTAGCAGCTTGGTTTTGCTGCAGCTCTTTCTATTTAAATTTTTATCTTCCCTCCTGCCAGATTATTTCTCCTTCTCTGGCCCCTTCTCCTCCATCCAGAAACCGCCGAGCGACCGCAAGAGCACACGATCCGGACATCATCTTTCCTCCTCCGCCTCCGCCTCCTCCTCCTCCTCCTCCTCCTCCTAACTCTGCACTTATCATGCAGCTCTTTCTAATAATCTTCCTCACAGATTGTTTCCCCTCTTCTCTGGCCTTCTCCTCACAGATTGTCTCCCCTCTTCTCTGGCCTCCTTCCAGCTGCAGCAGAACGTATGTTGCGCTCCCTGTCTTCACACTTTCCTATCGAGCTCCTGCCTTGTGCAGCTCTTTCCAATAGCGGAAGGTGCTGTTGACGGCGTTGATCAAATCACAAGCGCCTCCTTGTCAAGCTGCCTGTCGTTGACGACGTCTCCGTACCGGAAGGACTTACTTCATATCATTTTTTCCACTTGTGATTCTAGGTATGTCCTTGGTAGAAAGGACTTACTTTATATATTATATTCTCCAGTTTTGTGATTCTTACTTTATATATTATATTCTCCAGTTTTGTGATTCTTACTTTATATATTATATTCTC